CCAAGACTGTTTGTTAATGCCTGTCTCATTCAGCAAACTGGTGGGTTTGATGCACACTGGTACTGCAAAACCTAGGAATAGGTGTCTCATAAATATTTGTTGAATGAATGAATGGAGTTTATGACTTGAATTTCTTAGCTGAAAAAAGTTGCCAGATATATACAAGTTCTCCAGAAGTTTCAATTAATTCTTTTTCTACCATACAATGACTGAAAAGAGAAAGTCTCCAAAAAATAGAGAAATTCTAAAAAAAATATATTTATGCTTGGTTCATTATAATGAGAATTGGACTTACGTATAGGCTTAATAGGATTAGTCTTTTTCAAGTGGCCGTGTAACATATTGACATAGACCAAATACTGGACTATAAAACAATCCTCAACAAATTAAAAAAAATTGAAATTTTACAGATTGTCTTCTATGAACACAATGGAACCAAACTAAAAATTAATAATATAAAGAAAATAGGAAACTCTCAAAACTCTTGGAAACTACACAACACACATCATAATCTAATGACCAAAAGGAAAGTCTCAGGGAAGCTAAAACACACACACACACACACATACATTTTGAACTAAAAAATGGATCATGGAATAAAATATAAAAATGAATTTTTTATAAATGTAAGAGAAACAAAATCTTTGGAATCTAGGATGGGACAAAGCATTATTAGACTTGATACCAAAAGAGTGATCCCTAACAGAAAGTTCCTAAATCTGAATGCATCAAAATTAAAAATTTTTACTCTGTGAAATACCTGTTAAAAATATGAAAAAAAACAAGCTACAGAATTGAAGAAAATATGTGCTAGACAAGCTACAGAATTGAAAAAAAAAATATGTGCTGATAATGACTAATGATGGTGTTTAGTCAAGTGTTTTAAGCCTTTTGACATTTTCTTAAAACTTCCCAAAATAAAATTCTAAATTAAGTCTTTTTAGATTTAAACTAACTTTGGAAAACACCAGAGGGCTCCTGGAATGTCTGAAAGAATCTGTAAAAGAGAGATCCAGTAGTCCCCTCCTACCTGTATTTTCCTTTTCTGAGGTTTCAATTACCCATGGTTAACTGTGGCCCACAAATAGGTGAATACAGGACAATACAATACTTTGAGAGTGAGAGAGAGACCACACTTAACTAAATTTGTTCTACTTTACTGTTAGTTGTTGTTGTTAATCTGTTGCTGTGCCAAATTTATGCATTAAACTTTATCTTAGATATGTAAGTATAGAAGAATGTATAGTATATTTAGGGTTTGGTATTATGTGTGGTTATAGGCATCCACTAGGAGTCTTGGAATGTATCCCCTACAGATAAGGGGGGCCCCTATCATATTAAACTTACTAGATTTATTTGGTATATTAAATTATATGGGAAGCATTGTCAAATAAGAAATAGAGTTTAATCTTCTTCTACTTATATTCATATGGATATGTTATTATGTGTTTGAGAAACTTTATGAAATTTCTAGAAACAGGATATGTTATCAATAATAATTTTGGTTATTATGTTAAAGTGTTGTATGCTACAGAAAACAAGCAAAGTCTCTTGCCAATTATATAATTATTATACAAAAACTCATTAGATTTTGTGATCCTTAAAAAATTTTTTTTTAGCATATTATGGGTGTACAAATGTTTAGGTTACATATATTGCTTTTGTCCCACCAGAGTCAGAGCTTCAAGTCTGTCCCTCTCTCGAACGGTCGGATCACACTCATTAAATGCGTATGTACCCATCCCTCCTCCCACCTCCCATCTGCCTGACACCCAATGAATGTTATTACTATATGTGCACTTAAGTGTTGATCAGTTAATACCAATTTGGTGGCGAGTACATGTGGTGCTTGTTTTTCCGTTTTTGGGATACTTCACTTAGTAGAATGGGTTCCAGCTCTATCTAGGAAAATATGAGAGGTGCTATATGCCATTGTTTTTTGTGGCTGAGTAGAACTCCATGATATACATATACCACATTTTATTAATCCACTCATATATTGATGGGTGCTTAGGTTTTGTCCACATCTTTGCAATTGCGAATTGGGCTGCTATAAACATTCAGGAGCAGATGCCTTTTTCATAGAATGTCTTTTGTTCTTTTGGGTAGATGCCCAGTAGTGGGATTGCTGGATCAAATGGTAGTTCTACTTGTAGCTCTTTGAGGTATCTCCATATTACTTTCCATAGAGATTGTCCTAGTTTGCAATCTCACCAGCAGTGTATGAGTGTTCCTATCTTTCCACATCCATGCCAACATTTATTGTTTGGGGACTTTTTGATAAAGGCCATTCTCAATGGAGAATGAGCAATTCTCACTGGAGAATGAAATAAGCAGTATCTCATTGTGGTTTTGATTTGCTAGATTTTGACCTTTATTTTCCTTTTTCTTCTATAGAATTATTATTTGGCTTGGTTCATGGGGACCTTGTCTTAAGGAGCATACTTCCCTCTCTTGGTGTTATCCTCCTGAGAGTCAACAGTACAATCTCCCTGATATGCTGTATTTTCTCAAGGGTCTTAAATGTGTGTTCACAGCCATCAACAGTATGCCAGATGGTCTCACTGTGATGAGAGCAACAAAAATGAGATGAACAACAAAAGGTTTCTTCTTCAACGAGCCTGTTATCTTGCTTTATAAGTTTCACACTGAGACAAAGACAGCCCTATCATGGTGGTGACAGAGTGGCTCTTATGCTCAAATTTCAGTCAATATCTCATAAATGAGAGGCTGACCAAAAGAAGGGAGTTGTTTAAAAAAATCTAATTGGGAGAGCACTAGACTGGGGTGAATCTGGCACTTTAAATTCCCATGTGAACGGACCAAAGCCCATGGTGAACAGCAAATTGAAACTAGAAACTGCAATAATCAGAAACCACCAACTAACCTCTAACTAGGAACTTTCCACTCTAACCTATCAAAATTGTTTCCTTTGTCTTGCTTCTGCAAATACTTTATAGAAGTTTCTTTTCTTGCTCCTTCCAGCAGAGTGCTAGCTGCTTGCAGACAAGTGTTGCCTTGATTCATTAATGGCTAAATGCTCACAGCAAATGTTCAGCAAGTGTTAGCTCATATAACTATCACTGTTATTACTAAGTAGCCAAGCAAGGATTAGAACATGTTCGGTTCAACACTGGACCACATCACATATCATAGGTGCATTATTTTGCAGTGCTATTATATTTAGATTATAAACTATCTACTCAGAATAATAAATATTTATACACAAGTGGAAGCTTCTGAGTAATATGTAAGGCACTTTAAAATTTCTTTGGTAAGTAGGGTAAGGAAAGATGGAAAGAAACATGTCTGCTGTTCACCTGGAAGCAGCCCTGATGTACCTTTCCTGGGACTAGCATTGCCAGAATGTGTTGGATAAATGACATGCCCTCTATTTAAGAAGGTGAATTTTGAGGTGGCTTGAAACAGGCATCCTTCTGGCAGAGTGGGGGAAAAAATTAAAGTCTATGTTCCCAAATTTACCATCATTAAAAGAAATCTAATTAATTTTACTGAACTTCTATTAAGGGCCACACCATAAACTGATTGGAGAGCTCATGGGAGAGCAAGAGAAACTACTAATACATAGACAAAAAACCTTATGGGATGTGGCAGTTACTGTAACACAAATAGGTGATAATGGGATGGAATTGCTTAATTCTTCCAGAAGTCAAAGAAGAGAAATTACAAGAAAAAAATAAATATCAGAAGGTATTTATTTACTGATTCATTCATTCATTCATTTTAAGCATACTTGCAAGTCAGGCCATCACATTGTCAAGCAAAGTAATTATGCACCCAAGTGTTTAGTTGAAAATCAAACCAAGTAAGGTTTGATGCAACCCAGAAATTAATCTGAGTCTTTCATATCAGGGTTATCTCTGACATATTTATTACACTTAAGAAAGATGAAAATGCTCTCAAATATTAAAAACAATGACTTTAATTGCAGAGTTTATTTTGGAAAATTCAAAATTCTTCATTACTCTCCTCTCTATATACTATTAATAAAAGAAATTAGGCCATGAAAGCAAAAATGCCATTATCTTATGTTTTTCAAAGTAGACTATTATTATCCTGATTTGGAAATGGTATAATGATACATATATGAAGATGTTTGCCACTAATTGCTTTAAGCAGGCATTTTGTTGGAGATATATTTGTATTTGACTCTATAAAGTTTAACTTCTGCACATGCCAAAATTACTTCATTACAAGGTGTTCTCACTCATGTGCTATCCCATGGAAATTATTCCATTCCTTACAAGGAAAGGAATGTGAGGTCTTTCTCTTATCACTGTTACATTGTGCAGGTTTTTATATTTTTTCCTGTTCAACTTTACACATCAAATGCCATTATAATAACTATTAATATATTGTGAGATAATTTAAATAACTATATGGGAAAATAATTGGGCTTGGGATAGAATCGTTTTGTAATAAATAATTTTATTTCTGTGGAATAAAATATCCTAATTTGGCCCTTGACTCAGTGCTTTAAAAAGTGAACATAATATTTTCTAAAATTATAAATCATTTTAAAGTGACAAGGAAAAAATTCATATTATCATTTTAGATAATAAACCAGTCAACACTGTAAAATGATAAAGACGTAAAGTAAAAACAAACATTTGTTCACTTCATTTCCACACACACCCCCCAACACACATACCACCACTATTTACCAAATTAGGTGAGTTCCATTAGCCCTCTAGTGGTAATGTGTTAGGATTAAAGATTCTTCCACTCAAAGGGTAAAAAAAGCTATCTTCTTTCAGAAGTACTAAAGTGAAACATGTTCTTGTAAATGCCAAATTCCAGGAATATATTTTTAAATCTCCGTGTGGGATGTAAGTAGAAAAATTTTCCTCAGCCAATGTGGGGTTTCTTCTTGTACCCCTCAATAAAAGATATGTCAAGTGAAGATGACAAATCGGGATACCACATGGTACATCATAATAACGCAGTACTTTTGCCACATTAAATTTTGCAAAAGGTTGCAGATGAGTCATAGCACAAAGTTCTGCAAACCCTGCCACATATCTCTTCATTGTACCTTAATTCTTTTCAGCAAGTCCCCCTCTTACTGGAGCCCTGGCATTTTCTTAAAAAGGACTGCCCAATTGTTTTAATGTTTCTATGATGGATAGAAATGACCCCGAGGTTTCAGAATGAAAGGCAAGTGCAATCACTTCCTGCATTGTTTTCCTTTTAGCAAAGCTTCCCGATGGTTCTGGACAGATATTGCTCCTGAGAAAACTCTCTCAACTTTAAATGTATTACAAAGAATGCATTTGTATAAAATGTACTACTGGACATCTACTGGACATTATTTGCTTATTGGCCATAACATACAGTAGTCCTTAAGGAGGAGGATGTCACAGCTCCCCTGGAACTAAGGTGAGTTTTGAGCTCATTTTCATAAGTTAATACCCAAACATCTCAACATGAATCATCAACATTTAGAATCTTTTCCCACTTTCTGTCTTAAAAACCAAACCAAGCCAATAACTTTGCTACAGCAGAAGTAATCTACATATATATATAATAACTGAAAGCAGTAATTAATCAGTTTAGCCTGCAACTAAAATATGATCTCAGAGCTAGCTCTGGGAGCAATGGTGTCTAAAGGAGTGAGAAGTTAGATAGTGTGTGTGATTCTTCTCTCTACAATGTCCTGCTGCAAAAAGCTACAGCAGTTACTGTGGATAGTACTGGCTTAAAATGAAACAGTTGGCATAATGGAAGGAAGGAAGGAAGGAAGGAAGGAAGGAGGAAGGAAGGAGGAAGGAAGGAAGGAAGGAAGGAAGGAAGGAAGGAAGGAAGTCAATTTGTCCTGTTTACATGAAAGCTTTTAGAGCACAATACTTCAAAGCAAGCAGAGAAAAAACAGATCACCTTCCAGTAATTTACTCAAAGATGTTAAAGTCTTTATTTTTCTTTCTTTTTTTTTGAGTAGAATATCCAGATGAATAATCAGGGTTAAAGTACCATGACATTGTAAAAGTCAAATACACAATCAGATAATTATTTTGCAACCAAAATTTCCATTATTGTGTATACTTAAAAGAGTTGGGATAATTATTCTGCTTCACTGAAAAAACAAAGAAATATCACTTAACACCTGCAGATAGAGACAAGTTATGTTCAGTCTAGATTCATGATAATAGCATAACATCTTTCTTTTAATTTCATTTAACCCTCTGCTTTTCAGAATTCATTTGCCTCTGCCTATTTTAATGCCTAGGACTGAGCTAAATAATATGTGTACCGTACTCTAATTTTCACTTATATTTATAGTTGATGACTTCAGAAAAATTTCTTAAAGAAAATATGATACACATATATGCAATAGATATGCTCATAAATGTATATGTATGCATTATGTGTATATAGTGAAGACGTAAGTATATATACATATACATATGCACACACATTTGGAAGAGAAGAAATGCACAATATTCCAAAGCTAAAGAATAACTCTTTCAAAAATTTTTCTTGCTGTCTAATGTAATATTATTGTATGATGAGAAATTATTTTAGCACTTAACAATACTTAGTAATGTCATCATTGTCATGGATACAATTAGGGCTACAATTATACACACCCATAATGATGCACATAAATGCTTTGGAAAGAGAAAATTATGCATTATTTTAGGTTGCAAAATTTTAAATTGTATAATCTTATGTAACTTTTTAGGTCCTTTGAATCCTGAGCCTTCGAGAATGGCTTTTAGATTGGTGATTGATGCCAGGAAATATGAAGCCTAAATTGATGTTGGCTCTGCTACTTAGTACTTCTGTACCCTTAATCCAAATACTTCAAGTATATGAATCTATTTACTTAATTGTGAAATATTACCTATCTTCAGGGTTATTCAAAGGATTAGAATCGACAAAATATGCCAAGTTCCTCTAGATAGAAAGTTTTACATTATAAGATCTTGGTAGATAGTTATGCATTATTATTATACAAGAAAAATTAGTCTGGCAATAAGATAATTTGGTGTAAGGACAGGCATAGGCAGATGATAGGTCAGGGGAGAAAAGGGTAGGCTGTTATCTGCTTTGTAAAGAAATGGTATGTTTGGATAGGTTGAATTCCTTGAATAATTTCTCAACTCTCCCTTTTAACTTGCATTTTTGGTCACTAATTCTGTGATTTTTGTTTAGCTTCTGGTCTAGGTTTTATTTCCCAGAAACTCCTTATCATGAGAGAGGTATAAATGTAGCTAAAATTATTGATAAGAGACTCAAAAATTATTTACAGCTTTATGTACTTGAACAAGAGAGTTTAGTGTATGCTTGAAGAATGAATAATAATTATCAGCTTTCAGAATAAAGCAAACATTTTGTTCTAAATGGTTCTACCCAAATGATACAAAAGACCAAAAGGTTCAGTTATATACTTGCTACTACATCCTTTTAGCACTATCAACCTGATATTTGGTACAAAAATGAGAATTGATTTTTAAATATCTCTAAATTCCTCCATTTCATAGATCAGACTTATTAAAAAATGAGTAGTTTTGCATGTGGATTTCGTTAGTCATAGGGAACCAACTAAACAGAAACTTGATATCCTACAAACCCAGATTCACGGTGCCCCTCCCTGCTTCTCCTATTTCTTTCACAATCATCTAAAAATCAGAAATTAATGAAACACTCTAGTCTAAACTGAGCAAAGGTAAATGCAATTAAAGGTAAATGCAATTAAAATCTTATAATGATTTCAAAAGTGATAATGGTTTACCTTGAAAATGTTACATGTGTTTTGAAAGCAAAAGCTTGACTTTAGGAGGACTCTCAGCTTTGGGCTAAAGAAATAAATCCCAAGGCTGAATCAACATCCTAAAAGTCAAAAGATATGTGGGATGGATGCATACAATGCTGTTTTTCATTGAAATTAGTGTGCAGACATTAATTTGATAGTGATTTTTAAAAAATAAAATTATATTTCAAATGCATTATTTTAGAGTGTTAACTGATGGCTTACTTCAGGGTTTGGCAAAAACTAGCTGAGTTATATGATAGAATTTTGCAAACGAGTGTTGTTTTTAACGGTTTAGTGGGTGTTTTTTTTTTTTTATTCCCTGAATTCTTGTGAAAATGTTATTTTCTAAAGATATTTATTACCATTTCTTCTAACTATAATTTGCATTCCTTTAATCCTTTGGTAGCAACCGTTACTTTTTTGTACAACTATTATGAAAGGTTACATCAGAAAAAGACAAACACAAACCATGTCATCTATAGACAGATATTTTGCTACATTTGTTTCTTATCTACATATAAGCAAACAAAAATGGGGAAGAGAAAAAATATTGAAAATTGTATTAAGATTTTTTTTAATTTTTATTCTCATAGTTATTTTAGAGATCTGTTCTCAAATATCCTTGTATTCTTGGCTACAAAATGATTTATTATTTACTCTTCTTTTTCTAATATGTTTTTCTTTTTAAAAGATTAACACTTTGAAAAATAGAATTTCCTGCAAATTCAAAATTTTAAAAACTGTGGTCAAAAGTAGTATTTCATTTATGTAATCTAGCCCAGCTTGTTTAGTGACAATAGAGTACATAAAACTGTGTGACATATTTGGCAATCTCATACCAAGATTTTTTTCTGAAACTATAGCTTGTAATTTTAATACTCTTTCTTTTAAATACATAAAATGAAAGGGACACTGAAGTGAGATAATACAAATGAGTTTATGTAAACCCATCAAAACTCTGGGGAAAAAATACATTACTGGCTCTACTAATGAACCTTCAAATAAATAACATCATATTTAATACTATATTTTAAAGTTTTTCTCATAATTTTTTTCAGTTAGTTATTAAGTATTGGATATGGATAATATTAATATAGATAAAATAATTCATCCATCTAATAATGATGAAGTTCCTACCAAATGCTGGGCACTGGCACAACTCCTAGGAATATGAAGTTAACTAGAATATGTTCTCTATCCAAAAGGATCTCCTATTTCTATGGAGAGAATAAACACATAAACAGACACAGCATATAACAAATTTTAATAGTGGTATAGTCAGAGCACTTCACTGACCCATAAGAGGAAATAACTCCCTTGAGAGCCTGAGCAAACGCATCCATCATACATGGATCATCCTCACATACATCCACACATGGTTACAATTACTGTCTATTAATTTACTGCTTCCAAATATTTATCTTTAGGCCAGACTCTCCTAATTTCAAGATCCAAATGTATATAGCTATCTACTTGCATCGCCATCTCAATGTCTCCTGGGTAAAACTCAAATAATTCAGAAGTTTTTCTATACCACGCAAGAAGCCTTATTGATTGGTTGAAGTAAAGAAAATAAATAACTTTCACAGTTGTTCCACCAAACGCTTTGGATATCCATGGTCTCTATCCATGGTTTCAAGTGGACAATGTTCCCTATCTGGGCATTTGTACTCAAGATAAACACTCTCAGCACAGGACAGATATTAATAGCAATGACTTTCTTATGCTAGGGCTTGGGTGTTTGGGTATCCAATTTTATTCTGAGTTTGTTCTTACAGAAAAAAAAAAGTCCTGAGTAGTAGATTTGATTCTACAGCATATTCTGAAGGAGGAATGCATCTTCTTTCTGTATTCGCCCTCTTCTCTGGCTGGAACTCTGCATTCTTTTGTGTGCTGTCACTCTCAGTGACTCCAGCCCTGGCCCATTGGAGCACATCTGTCTTTTTCTGGGATCCTTCCCTCCCAAGAAAATATCTGCTAAATGGAGGAGCTTATTTTTCATTGACTTATTTTCACCTAAAAGCCAGTGTAGGGAGTGAAAATCAATATATTGTTGGTTCAACTATTTTATCTCACTTAGAAGGACAGGTAATGTAAGGTAAAAATATGTTTCTCTGACCAGATCGTGCTGTTTGTCTCCAATCCACAAAATATTTAACCATAAAAGTTCTATCTGAATACAAAATATTATCATGACCTACCTGTGCTTTAAGTATATTTTTCTTTTTATGTCTTTGAATCTTAAAGAAAACACATCCTTATTTTTAAAAGTTCATTCATGTCAAACTTTTCTAATTTCCCATCTTTTATAATCCTTCCAATTTGCATTTTAAAGACACCGCTGACTTTCTATGACTTTTAAGACTGTGAAAGAATCCCAGGGATTATATTAAAAATGTCATCAATGATGCAAACTAATCAGAGCATTTATTTGGTAATCTCTAGCAGCCATACAAAATTGCCTTACATAAAGCAGGAAATATGTAAAAGACGAATTTTTGTAAGATGGTAGTGAAATATAGAGGTCAGGCTTGGAAAACTGTAAAACTGATATTTTATGATCATAGAAAATAAAATTGTCCTATGGAAATTTGAAGAACATTCTAGCTTTAAAGAGTGACTT